CAACCAAAAAAAAAAAAAAATAGCCAGGCATTGTGGCAGGCACCTATGGTCCCAGCTACTTGGGAGGCTGAGACAAGAGAAATGCTTAAGCCTAAGAGTTTGAGGTTGTGAACTGTGATGCCACAGCACTCTACCGAGGGCAACATGATGAGACTCTGTCTCAAAAAAAATAAAAATAAACTAAAAGAGTAGTTTTTAATGTTCTCACCACAAAAAAATAAGTTAGGTGATGGATAAGTTAATTCTCTTGATTTAATCTTTGGAGTCTTTTACTAGTAGTCACTTAATTTATTTATTAACATTCACATACAGAAAAGAAAATGCCAGTTACGTTTAAGAGTATCTTTGTTGAATCAGTTCAATTGTTTAAAAATCTAGACCCAGTGGCACCTGTGGCTCAGAGAGTAGGGCGCCAGCCCCATATACCGAGGGTGGCAGGTTTAAACTTGGCCCCAGCCGAACTGCAACAAAAAAATAGCTGGGCATTGTGGCAGGCACCTGTAGTCCCAGCTACTTGGGAGGCTAAGGCAAGAGAAACGAGTAAGCCCAGGAGTTGGAAGTTGCTGTGAGCTGTGATGTCACAGCACTCTACCGAGGGCAATAAAGTGGAACTCTATCTCTAAAAAAAAAAAAATCTAGACCCTTCAGTCCACATCTTTCTAATATTTTGCCTGCTGAAATGAAAAATATACATAAAGCATATCTGCCACATACCAAAATATAATAGTTAACTTGAGGAGATAGATTTGTATGATTTTTGAATTGCAAATTGAACTGATTAAATCTTTCTACTCGTATACATAGGCCAAAACACACTGTACTCCATATATACACACAATTACTTCTCAATTAAAAGTAAATAAAAATAAAATAAAATTATTGTAAAATAAAAGCCATGAATGCCCATCATCACCTTGGGTAGCAGGAGAAACTGGCCATGTCCACCCATCAACACTGAGCACCACAGAGGGCCGCAGAAGTGGCCACAGCACCTCATCTGGCTGCCCTCTGACTGCATGGTGGACATGGTATGTGCCATGTGGCTTCAGTGCTGGGTGGCTTTTAGATTCCTTTCAAAAAGGAACACAAATCATGTTCTTTTCATTCTGGAGGTTGTAGTGGCAGGCTGCTGGCCAGGATTGAGGGAGGCAGCTAAGGGCAGCTTTGGAGGGCACTTGGGCTGATGGAGTCCTGATGGGGAAGTGGGCAGGCCTGGGGTGGAAATGGCCAGGCAGGGTATGCTGATATGAAGATGAAGGAGCAGAGAGTCCAGGGGGTGGTGTCAGGGTTCATTTTAAATTGATATCTCCTCAGGGTAGAGAGAGAGCCAGCACCCAAGTCATCACACTTGGGTGGGGGCTGCCTCGGCAACAATAGGAGGTCTGGGTGCATGCGGGAGGGCTCCCTGGTCTCAGCGGGCATGGGAGGGCTACCTCCAACAGGGAGGACCTCTGAGAAGAAGGGCTGGCTCCAGGCAGGCCAGAGACACTGCAACAGTGCGGCCTGTGCTGGGCAGTGACTGAGGAAACAAAGGAGCTTGGCCCGGACTAAACAGGAGCCAGAGAGCCTATCGGCAGCCCCATCCCATCCGCCAGGGCCCTGTAGGGAGGGAGGCTTGATGTTCTGGAAAGATCTGGTCAAGTCTTTACTTTTCACACTCAAAGAAATTAATTTCAATTCTCACTCATTCCCTTGCTCACTGAGCATGAGTCCAGTGCCCACTGAGTGGCAGGAATGCAGCCAAAGACTGGACTCCTCACTGTTTGGCACACGCCCAGGCCCTGGGTCAAGAAGCAAGTTGGCACCATCTCAGATGAAAGCCTGGGGCACAGCGCCATCTGCTGCTCCCCATCTTGGGCCCCCTGGTCAGGGGCACATGTGTATGTGTGTGTGTGTGCACGGGTATGGCCAAGCAAGTGTGGGGTACAGGTGTGGCCACAGGCCCACAGGTGTGCTGCCCTCCAGGTGCTGCTGTGGTCAGCCAACAAGGTGTTTGAGGAGCTGACAGACATCGAGAGGCAGTTCCACAAGGCCTTCTACACCGTGCGGGCCTATCTGAACTGTGATCGCTACTCAGTGGGGCTCCTAGACATGACCAAAGAGAAGGTGAGGCCGCAGTCCCAGGGCTTTCCTGCCCTCTTGGCTTGGCACCTATACTGATCACCTCCCTGTTTCTCCTCTGCTAGGAATTCTTTGACGTGTGGCCTGTGCTGATGGGGGAAGCCCAGCCGTACTCAGGCCCACGCACTCCTGATGGGCGGGTAAGTCCTGGTAGCTGCTCTGGCTCCCAGGTAGGGAGACAGGAATGGGGGTGGGAGCGGGCTGTCTCCCCAGACTCCACCCCTGCCATGCTCCAGGGATGGGGCAGCTAGACTAGCCCTAAACAAGGTCGCCCACAAATGTTCTGCTTGGCTGGGCTCCTGCTGCCTCCTCTGTGGTCATCATACCATCTCCCAATGTGGGACATGGGAGCATGCATGTGTGCACACATGTGCATGCAGAAGGACAGGCCCAGTTCATGTGTGGGCTTCTGTGAGAAAGAGAGGAAAGTTGGATCCAAGTCAGAGTGTGAGGTGCATGGCCCACAGTACCAACACATGTGCCCTGAACGTGCATACCCACTGGCATGTGTGTGAGTCTTTGTGAAACATGCACAGTGGATGGATCTGCTGTGCACACATGTCATTGCATGTAGGTATGTGGTCACATGTAACTGGGCTTCTGTCCCAGAGCTCCCCTTGAGGAGTCTGGCTGGGAGCCTTAGAACCCTCGTGTCTATTTCTAGGAAATCGTCTTCTACAAGGTCATCGACTACATCCTCCATGGCAAGGAGGACATCAAAGTCATTCCGTAAGTGCCAGAGCTTCCCAAGAGGTGTCCCTGTAGGAGGGACACATCCCCATAGGAGGGACACCCTTGGCCCGGGCATGGTCTCAGGACCACAGAGGGGTCAGCAGTGTCCAGCCAGGCCCAAGCTGCTCCCTGCACTGTGGATGCTGTGGAGGGGGAGACAGATATCTGCCTGGGAGACAGAGGGGAGGAGGGATGAGCCTGAAGCCTCCCTTCCTCCAGAGTGGACCTTAAGAGTAATGCCAAGGTCCAGGTGCACTGTCTAGTGATCCCTTGGGGTCTTACCTTGGCTCAACCAGCCCCACCTGGAACAGTGGCACTTCCAGAGGAGGAGGGCTGGCATTGCATCCCTGTGAGGCTGGTAGAGGAAGGGTGTCCAGAGGTCAGAGCAGGACACCAGCCTCCCCCAGCCCTTCAGCTACATGGCCATGAGATCCTATGACCCCACAAAACTGGTAGAATCCAGCCTTACGCCCCAAGCAGCACCAGGACCCAGGAGCCAGGCTGGAATAGACATCAGGGCCAGGACTGCAGGACAGATGACTGTGAGTCCCAGGAAGTAGCTGCAGCCTTGGGGTCTGCAGGAGCAGGTCAGAGCATGGCAGGACATGGGAAAGAGGATGAAGGCAGCCCAGATCTCTCCAAACCTCATGCCCTGCTCAAGTCCTCACCAGGTCTCACCACCTCCATGGCCCCTGCTCCCAGCTGGAGCTCAGAGAAGGGAACAGAAGTCAAGGCTAACTCACAATGTCCACATCTAACAATGCTCTCTCCCCACAGCACTCCACCAGCAGATCACTGGGCCCTGGCCAGTGGCCTTCCAACCTATGTGGCAGAAAGTGGTTTTGTGAGTCCTGTGCTATTTGGGCCATGGCCCTGCCCTACCTGGTGCTGCACCCTTGTCTCCTGTAGTCCTCTCCCTTCCAGTGTCCATGCGCTGCAGCTGCCCCTTGGCCACTCCGCTTTCCCAACTTAGAAGTTTGTCTCTTTCCAGTGAGGCTGAGATAGAAAGTCCATTTTAGAATCATATTATACCTTCAGCAGCTTCAAGTGAAATTGTTTTTCTGATCCTTTTCCAGATTTGTAACATCATGAATGCCTCTGCTGATGAAATGTTCAAATTTCAGGTATCTGTCCATTCATTGATAGAAACTGTGTTTTACTTAGGCAAGGAGATACTTTGGTGCAGAAATGATGAACTTAATTAGCATTTGCTACTTACACACTCTCAAAGTCTCAGGTATAAGAAGCATATATTTCATGCTCGCAGGTCTGTAGCTCAACTGGGCTCAACAGGGCAAGGAGGGATGGCAGTGAGGCTTTGGTCTGCTCCACACGTACTTATCTGCTGCCACAGGGCCAAGGAAGGCTTACTCTTGAGGGAGGCGGAGAGTCAAAGGAACTGGTGGAAATGTGGTTTATCCACTTTCCATTGGTGAGGCCCACCATTGGTGGGGTGGAAGATAGGACCCAATGCAAACTGAAAATAGGATGCCCCTTGCTGAGAAATTATTAAGAACTCCTAAGAGCAAGCATTCAGCCAAGAGCAGGTCCCTCCTGAGAGTGAGCAGCTGTGGGGCTGAAGCCTCACAGCCCTAGTGGGCAAATATCCTCTACCTCCACTGATAGGAAAAACTATGACACAAAAACTGTGGACACAAAGCTCAGACACCAGAAGGAATGAAGAGACAGGACAATAACCTGCTCACCACAGTTCAAGGCAGAATAAGAGGCTCACCCTCCCCACGGGCCAGGGTGGTGCTCAGCTCTGCACATACCCCTGCAGGAGGGGCCCCTGGATGACTCTGGGTGGGTCATCAAGAATGTGTTGTCCATGCCCATCGTCAACAAGAAGGAGGAGATTGTGGGTGTTGCAACATTTTACAACAGGAAGGATGGGAAGCCATTTGATGAACAGGACGAAGTCCTCATGGAGGTAAGCACATTTCACCAGAGGTGGTTTTGGAGGGGATACCAACAGGACATGGCTGTATAGGGCTTTACCACACCTCACCCCACCCAGTATAAGGTCAGGGAGAGTGGGAGCCAGGATGGGCTTGTGGGGCCAAATTCCTTGATATAGTAGGTCTCTGGCAGGCACCAGAAGGCCTGCTCAGATGCCGGCGGGGTGTAGTGTGCGCTGGGGTGATGACACTGCTGCCCTCTTCCCCAGTCCCTGACACAGTTCCTGGGCTGGTCAGTGATGAACACTGACACCTATGACAAGATGAACAAGCTGGAGAATCGCAAGGACATCGCCCAGGACATGGTCCTTTACCACGTGAAGTGTGACAAGGACGAAATCCAGGCAATCCTGGTATGGAACCCTTCCTACTGGTGTCCTTCTGGGCAGCAGGGAGGAGGGGTTCCCAGGAGCTAGGACACACACTGAGGTCCACCCTGACTGCTCAGCCCAGAGGGGCCTGCCCATGCCTCAGTCTCTTCAGCTGGAGCTGGTATGGGCTATGAGAATCCATCAGTCGTGCATGTGGGTTGCTCAGAGCCATGACTAAGACAGGAAAGGAGCCACCCCATACAGTACCATCATTTCTAGGCATTTGCAAGAGGAAAGCTGACCCTCAGCACTCTGGCATCATTTCATCCCTTACCACTTCATGAACATCTTTCTTCTCTATTAGCCAACCAGGGAACGTCTGGGGAAGGAGCCAGCTGACTGTGAAGAGGATGAGCTGAGGCAAATCTTGGTGAGGATCTCACTTTCATCCCTCACAGGGAGGCTGGCCACTCCTAAGGTGTGAAGGGACAGTCCTCCTTTTTACCCAGGATATGTTCAGCACACATAGCGTCACCTTGTGACACTGGCTAATGTCCGCTTGTTTGTGCAATGTGTCCACACATCTCACATGTGTGTCAACATCATGCAGGGCATCTCCAAGTGTTTGTCCAGCTAAAGGTTTAACTTGATGTCTGCACTGCTGAATGTACCTTCATGTATGCCTGTCTCTTTTGTGCTTTTCCAGAAGCTTCTATGTTTAGTCTTAGTGGGCATGGTTGAACTATGTATCCATGTGTGTCATCCCTGATATAGAAGTGACCAGGAGCCCACAACATCCAGTATGTGTGTTTGCATATGTGTGCATGTGTGCACATGGGTGCCTATAGACATGTGTTTGTGTGTCTCCCATTACAGGGTCAGCTTGAATGTAATTTGATGTCTCCATCACCTCGTGCCTCTCTGTGTGACTTAGCCAGAATCATCTGAGGGCTATCAGTCCTACTGAGGAGGCCTTTGACTGATTGTGCAAATGTGCCTATGTGTATCCATGTGTGTGCCAGTGTATCCACATAGATGCCTGTGTATTCACAGGTGTGGTTGTGTATCCACATGTATCTGTGTGTCTTTTTATGTGCATAACTTTGTATTTGCTATTTTCCCATCATTACTCTGCCCTGCTGGGCACAGTTCTCATTGATAGGCCACTGAGTGGGAGAAGGGAACATGATCTGAACTGGCAAGGATATGAGCATTCCAGGCTCAAAGCTAGAGCAACCAAGAGGACACATACCAGCAGAGATGCCTAGGGTGTTTGTAGCTGGACAGGGGCTTCAGAGAGGAGAAAGATGAAGGGAAAAGTGAGGGCTTCCCTCAGCCCAATGTCTCCCCCAACAGAAGGAAGAACTGCCAGGGCCCAGCAAGTTTGACATCTATGAGTTCCACTTCTCTGACCTGGAGTGCACTGAACTGGAGCTGGTCAAATGTGGCATCCAGATGTACTATGAACTGGGTGTGGTCCGCAAGTTCCAGATCCCCCAGGAGGTAGGTAGAGTGGTGGTGGGGACACAGTCAGGGTTCTAAGTCCCCCAGGATGTGCAGATAGAGATGTGATTGGGGGTCTCAGATCCCCCAGGAAATAGGAGGTTGTGTTTGGGACCCAGCTCCCACAGGAAGTTTTGGAGGCAAGCATGTTCACCATAGAACAGGATAGATGCAGCAAGTATGCCTAAAATAAAAGATTAGTTGGATGAGTGGATGGTTAGATGGATGGATGGATGGATGGATGGAGAGATGAGTGGATGGGTGAGTAAATTGTTGGACTGATGGGTAATAGATGGGTAAGTGGGTGAACTGATGAATGGAAAGGTGAGTGGGTGAGTGAGTGGATGACTAGATAGATGGATGACAGATAGGTGAATGGGTGAATTGATGAATGATTAGACAGTTGGATGAATGGAATGATGGGTGGAAGGAGGGATAGATGGTAGATGGATGGAATGATGAATAGAAGGAAGGAGGTATGTTAGCTGGATGGAATGATGCCTGGAAGGAGTGATGGATGGTGGATGGTTGGAATGATGCTGGGAAGGAGCAATGGATGGTGGGTGAATGGAATGATGCAGAGAAGGAGTGATGGATGGTGGGTTGATGGAATGATTCAAGGAAGGAGTGATGGATAGTGGGTTGATGGAATGATGCAGGGAAGGAGTGATGGATGCTGGATGGATGGATTGATGCAGGGAAGGAGTGACGGATGGTGGGTGGATGGAATGATGCAGGGAGTCCTGTGCTATCTGGGCCACGGCCCTGCCCTACCTGGTGCTGCACTCTCATCTCCTGTAGTCCCCTCCCTTCCAGTCTCCATGCACTTGGCCGCTCTGCTTTCCCAGTGATGGATGGTGGGTGGATGGAATGAGGCAGGGAAGGTATGATGGATGGTGAATGGTTGGAATGATACCGAGAAAGAGTGATGGATGGTGAGTGGATAGAATGATGCCTGGAAGGAGTGATAGATGGTGGATGGTTGGAATGATACAGACAAGGAGTGATGGATGACAGGTGGATGGAATGATGCCTGGAAGGAATAATGGATGGTGGGTGGACGGAATGATGCAGAGAAGGAGTGATGGATGGTGAGTGGATGGAATGATGCAGGGAAGGAGTGATGGATGGTGGGTGGATGGAATGAGGCCTGAAAGGAGAGATGGAGGGTGAGTGATTGGAATGATACTGGGAAGGAGTGATAGATGGTAGGTGGATGGAATGATGTATGGAAGGAGAGGTAAATTGACAGTGTATGGTCAGACAGCTGGATGTATGATGGACAGTGTATGGTCAGATGGCTGTATGATTGCTCTGTCCAACTCCATGTCATGGGTGCTGGTATTGTACTCTCCACCCATGAAGGCCAGCAAGAGCCCATGGTGAATAGTGGTGACAGGGAAGGTTGTGGAGGCCTAGGAGACAGTGTGTGCGGATAATGGACTCAAAGCAGAGCTCCTACCAGAGAGCTGTTAGCACATAATGCTTTGGTGAGACCTCTATGTGGTGCCAGAGCCCATGGATCCTCTCGGCTTACTCAGGTCCTGGTTCGGTTCCTGTTCTCCATCAGCAAAGGGTACCGAAGAATCACCTACCACAACTGGCGCCACGGCTTTAATGTGGCCCAGACGATGTTCACGCTGCTCATGGTGAGTAGCCAAGGCTTGAGAAGGGCCTCCCTGTCAGGCCTTCTGAATGACCAGTGTCATGCAGACCCTCTTGGTACCAAGGGTAGTGCCCCACTCTCCCAATAGGGAGAGACAGGCCTGTCAAGGGCAGGGGGATTGGAGGCCACCAACATCCACCAACAGTGCATACTACAATCTGGTGGTGGGTGGCTACAGGGGAGTAGACTCTGGCCCAATGTCCCCATACTCACCCCGCCCACTCAACTGGAGCCAGGGCATGTGAGCATGGGAGGTCCTGTCTCTGCAGACTGGCAAGCTGAAGAGCTACTACACAGACCTGGAGGCCTTTGCCATGGTGACAGCCGGTCTGTGCCACGACATTGACCACCGTGGCACCAACAACCTGTACCAGATGAAGTAGGCTCCGCCCGGGGGTGGGCACTCGGGAGGCATGTGAATTAGCAATAGACTGACTGCCTCTGTACCCTGGGTGTGCATCAACAGCTGCCATGCAGAAAGCCAGGTGCCTGGCGGTGGCCCTTCACCCCTCACTGCCTCTTGGGCAGCACTTCTAACCATTTGTCTATTTGTTTTGTAATGAAATCTTAAAGGTCCCAGAATCCCTTAGCCAAGCTCCATGGCTCCTCAATTTTGGAACGGCACCACCTGGAGTTTGGGAAGTTCCTGCTTTCCGAGGAGGTTTGTGTCTCTCTGTCCTTGTTCTTGATACCATGTCCTGAAGAACCAGTGCATGGCCCAGGGCTGAGGCTGGGCTGTGTGCAGAACCCAGGGCCAGGAAGTTTGGTAACTTCCCCACCATGGGGTGGCGTCCAAGGAGGGAGGGGTCTAGGACTGACCAGTGGGTGGATGATGCCTCGACAGGGCAGCTGGATTTTGCCGGAGGGGCGGCTGAACTGAAGGGTCCCCAAGGAACCATACACTGGCTGCCCCACATGCCTCCCCTCCCTGCCCTGCTATGGTCTGGGCAATTGGGTAGGTCCAGAGCAATGAAACAAGGCTGAACTGTCAGCAGGGGGTGGACACCCCAAGGGAGGTGCAGGCAGGGCCATCCTGGCTGCAGGGGAGCAGGATCTGTCCACCAAGGCCAAGGGCCAGGGCCCAAAAGGTACAGACAGGCCTCCCAGATGAGTCCAGGAAGGCTGCAATAACCATGCATGGTCCCCGCAGAGCCTGAACATCTACCAGAACCTGAACCGGCGTCAGCACGAGCACGTGATCCACCTCATGGACATCGCCATCATCGCCACAGACCTGGCACTCTACTTCAAGTGTGCACCCTTCCTCCAGGGCAAGAGGCCAGAGTGGGGGCGGCTGGGGTAAGACTGGGGAGGCCCCTTGGGATGAGGGTGCACTCCACATACTCCTACCTGTGCCTTCCTTTGCCCTTGGGGTCCAGGAAGAGGACCATGTTCCAGAAGATTGTGGATGAGTCCAAGAACTATGAGGACAAGAAGAGTTGGGTGGAGTACCTGTCCCTGGAGACAACACGGAAGGAGATCGTCATGTAAGTGCTGAGGCCCAGCCATGCAGAATGTGGGGCCCACCCGGCCATCAGCTGGGTAATCCCGAGACCCTTCGCCAGACAAGCCAGGAGCCCAGGTGCTCTGGAACTAGAGCCACGCACCTGGGCCTCCGATGCCCTGAAACTCGCACTGCACCCTATTTGCTCCCCATCTTCAGGAGAGAAAGTGCAGGACTTCAGGGCAGACAGACCATCTTCTTGGTTTGGGGACTTTAATTCCTGAATTTCCATTTCTTCATCTATTTCATCTAAAATATGGTGTTGGAACTAACATTTTTGCCAGTGTGTCTCAGAGATTCAATAAGAAAGTATATGAATGACATATAGGTGCAGTGGCTCATGCCTGTAATCCTACCTCTCTGGGAGGCCAAAGCGGGAGGATCCCTTGAGCTCAGAAGTTTAAGACCAGCCTGAGCAAGAGCGAGACCTCATCTCTACTAAAAGTAGAAAAACTAGCCAGGTGTTGTAGTAGGTGCCTGTAGTCCCAGCTATTAGGGAAGCTGAGGCAGGAGGATGACTTGAGCTCAAGAGTTTGAGGTTGCTGTGGGCTATGACGACACCACCATGCTATAGCCTGAGCAACAGAGTGCGCCTCTGCCCAAAAACAAACAAAAAGATGAAAACCACCTGCACTCAGAAGGCATCCAGTGAACACTGATGACCGGTTTGTCTGTCCACAGGGCAATGATGATGACAGCCTGTGACCTGTCTGCCATCACCAAGCCCTGGGAAGTCCAGAGCAAGGTCAGTGTCTATGTAATCACAGTGATCCAGAATTAACACTTCCTCAGAGCCTTGAAGGGCTGCATCTGGGGCAGCCAAGGTGGGGTGCAAATGTGGTGGATGCTTCCAAGTGCCCAGGAGTGGCCCAGCCAAAGCCCTGAGTAGCGGGACCCCAGGGCCTGGAGTAGGTAAGACTCCAGAGCCCACAGGCTGTGCTTTGTATGCCTTCCAGGTCGCTCTTCTGGTGGCTGCTGAGTTCTGGGAACAAGGAGACTTGGAAAGGACAGTCTTGGATCAGCAGCCCATTGTGAGTGCTGCTGCCGGAGACTTCTACCCCCACAGGGACATCAAGACCTTGCTGTGGCTCGACGCCTATAGCTCAACCGGCCAAGGCGCCAGCCACGTACACCTAAGGTGGCGGGTTCGAATCCCCAGCCCGGACCCGCCAAACAACAATGACGGCTGCAACCAAAAAATAGCCAGGCGTTGTGGCAGGCGCCTGTGGTCCCAGCTACTTGGGAGGCGGAGGCAGGAGACTCGCTTGAGCCCAGGAGCTGGAGGTTGCTGTGAGCTGTAATGCCACGGCACTCTGCCCAGGGGGACAGCTTGAGGCTCTGTCTCAAAAAAAAAAAAAAAAAAAAAGACCTTGCTGTGGTCCTCAAGAGCCTCAAGAGCTGCTGGGGGACACAAGCCTGGCTCAGGCACAGGCAGACCCCAGCAGTTAATCTCACTCTGCAAGGCTGTGTAGCATGAGTTTAGAGGCGCTGGGGTAACACCCCCACAGAGGTGAGAGTGGTTGAAACTGGAGGATCCAGGACCTCTCTGTGGGACTAGGCAGCTCTGAAGGTCTGCCCAGCAGAACCATGCCCCATGCTCCCAGAAGGCCCTGGGCAGGGCAGGCATACAGGGCCAATGCTACCATGAGGTGGATGGTGCCAGCACCCCCAAGTCAGCAACAAGGGTCAAGAGACTGCCAAGCCTCAGGGGCCCCTGGCCAGGGCTGACCAGAGCCAACAAGAGCTGCTGTGGAGCTGGGCACAGTGGCTCATGCCTGTAATCCCCTATCTCTGGGAGGCCTAGGCGAGTGGATTGCTTGAGCTTAGAAGTCGGAGACCAGCCTGAGCAAGAGTGAGAACTTGTCTCTTAAAAAAAGATAGCTGGGTATTGTGGAAGGTACCTATAGTCCTAGCTACTGGGGAGGCTGAGGCAAGAGAATCTCTTAAGCCCAAGAGTTTGAGTTTGCTGTGAGCTATGATGCCATGGCACTCTATCCAGGGCAACCAAGTGAGACTCTGTCTCAAAAAAAAAAGCTGCTGAGGACAGCTGGCCAAGGAGGATCTTTTGGCTTTTTGCTTCCAAGGGTGTCTGCCAGGCAGAACTGGTGCCCTGGGCCAGGCTCTGCCTGCATCCTTGGGTTCTGCTCCTTTTGTGTCTCCTGGAGTATCTTCCTGAGTGGCAGAGCTGTGGGCTGGGCAAGGTCATCCTTCTCTGCTTCCCCCACAGCCTATGATGGACAGGAACAAGGCAGCCGAGCTCCCCAAGCTGCAGGTTGGCTTCATCGACTTCGTGTGCACCTTTGTGTACAAGGTGTGTGACTCAGAAGTGCTGTGTGTTGACTGGGCCAGCAGGATGCAGGCTGAGCACATGGGGACTCACAGAGGGGCCCGGCAGTGTCCTCGTGCAGCAGAGCATATGTGGTTCCACCCCAATCTTGAGCAGAGCAGACTAAAGAGGACCTCCCAGCCACCAATACCTCCTCTGCTTTCCTCCAGGGCCTCTGGATGTCCCCTACTCAGTGGGCTCCCCACTGACCACAGCTGACCTGTGGGTTCATTTGCTTAGTGTCTGTGGACCCTCCAGAACAGGCTGGGATCTGCCCAGTAATCCACTGGACAACCAAAAGTAGCCACCTCCCTGCCAACTTGCCAGGTGCCCAACACACTGCTGAGTCTGAGTTCTGCTGTTCAGCCTCATGAGGACACAGGGCAGAAGCTGGGGGACACTTGCCAAGGCCAGGGGTCCTAGTGCAGAGTCCCTGCATGATGCTACAACACCCTGGCCCAGCAGGAGCTGTCTCTCTGTGCACTGTGTGGTGAAAGGCTCTTACCCTAAAGACGTTACCTGGTCCTCAATGAAGGTGCCCCTCTGGGTCGAGTGGGACCAGGAGAACGTTCAGTCATGACATGGCCATGGGTCTCAGCCTCCCAACAGGGCACCACTCTGCCTTCCCCAACTCCACACGCACCATGTAATGTGTGCTGGTATACGTATGCAGGTGCTGTGGGGTGTCCTCATGTGGTCTATGATGTGTGTTCATTGATGTGTGTGAGGGACAGGAGAGAGCTGCTGTCACGCGCCCGTGTTCACCACCCTCTGCTGGGTGCCTCCAAGCTGCCCTACAGCCTTGCAGGCAGCATTTCATACTCTGTCCTTGGGACTTTCTCCTAACACTGCCCACACCATGCATGTCCACACCCTGCAGCCTCCCTTCTAACATCAGGAACAGACCTGAGCCTGGCCCCTTTTGGGGGCTTTGCCATCAAGTGGTTCTCCCTCCTGTCTAGCCCTACCCACCAGGAGGTTAGCAAGACAGGGTGGTGGGGATGGGAGGAAACACAACTTCCCTGCTTCCTCCAGGAGTTTTCCCGTTTCCATGAAGAGATCCTGCCCATGTTTGAACGGCTACAGAACAACAGAAAGGAGTGGAAGGCACTGGCCGATGACTACGAGGCCAAAGTGAAGGCCCTAGAGGAGGAGAAGAAGAAAGAGGAGGAGAGGACGGCCAAGAAAGGTCTGTGCTCCCATGGCCTGCTGGGCATTAGCTTGCAGAAGCCAGAGCATCACAGGTAGAGTTGTCTTTGGAGGAAATAGAGAGCAGATCTCACACAGCCCGGAGGCCAACATGCTCACATGCTCAGTTTCCCCACTGCCCAGCCGTGGGGGTTGGGGGGGGGCCGTGGTGGGGAGGCCCCGTCCCACACAGGCAGTGTACCACCCAGCCAGAAAGCACCCAGAGAGGATTTCCTCCCATTCCTGGCCAGTGAACTCTCATTCCTCCCAAAGAAGTGCCATGTGTTCTTTACAATGGCTACAAAGCCCATTGACCTCTTAACAGTTACACAAGTAACTCCCATGCCACCGTCAGAAACAAACAGCAGACCTAAGATTAAAAAAATAAAATAGACAAGCTAGGCTCGGCACCTATGGCTCAAGCAGCTAAGGCGCCAGCCACATACACCTGAGTGGCGGGTTCAAATCCAGCCAGGGCCCACCAAACGACGGCCATAGCAGGACATTGTGGTGGGCGCCTGTAATCCTAGCTACTAGGGAGGTGGAGGGAGGAGAATCACTTAAGCCCAGGAGTTGGAGGTTGCTGTGAGCTGTGATGACACAGCACTCTACCCAGGGTGATAGTTTGAGGCTCTGTCTCCCCGCCCCCCAAAAAAGGCAAGCTATGACCAAAAAGTTCTGTGCTATGTCCAGCCTTCACTCACCTTGTCTCTCTACATTACAGAAACAGTAGTCAGTGGTAACAAGTCAGCGTAACAAATCAGAACCCCAGTAGCCTCAAGACCTTGGTGCTTGCTTATGCTTGGCCACCTGACCCTGAGGTTTTCTTTTTTATTTTGGCCAGGGCTGGGTTTGAACCCACCACCTCTGGCATATGGGGTCAGCATCCTATCCCTTTGAGCCACAGGCACTGCCCCCTGAGGTTTTCTTTCAGGCCCTGCTATCCTGCCTGACAGAGCAATGTGGACTTGTAACCAAAGCTATGGGAGGCCCGACTGAGTAATCTGGGTAGTGTCAACGGGCTAAAGCATTAAGGCAGGCTGAGCCCTGGCTAATCGGCTTGGGCTGGCCACAGCCCTTTCTCCTGCAGAGGTTGACAGAGGACACAACAAAAGGGCAGGCACTGGGGGGTGCACAAACACGTTTCTCATGCTTGGTCTTGTCCTCCTTTGTAGTGGGCACAGAAGTCTGCAATGGTGGCCCAGCACCCAAGTCGTCAACCTGCTGTATCCTGTGAGCACCAGCACTGTGGGAACTGATGCTCCCAATCTACTCACACACTAGGACTCAGGCCCTGCCTCTGGCAGCTTGATACAAGAGGTTAGGAAGACCAAAAAAATGACTGAAAATAACTTTGGATATTTTGGGGTTTTTTTTTTTAAGGTGTTTTTATAAAGCCAACTATGAATAATCTAAACAGTGTAGCCTACATTAATCCTCTGGTTTTTGGATAGTTACCACCAGATCCCTGAAAAGGCCTATGAACTATGTCTAAAATCACTAAGTGAAACATTCACAACTACACATGTATACATATGTATATAGGTAGACAGATAGGTTCAGAGATGCTGTTTCCTATCTGGTTTAGGAAAAAAACACAAATCTAGGAATTTAAAATAAAATAAAGAGAAAACATGCCCATTTTTATGTGGTGGAATTATAGCAGAGAACACATTATATTTGACCTGTCGGGAAATTCTGCCAGGAAGGTCATGGCCAGGAGCAGAGCAGTGATCAGACGTGAATAATTTAAGCAGAAACAACCTGTGGCAAGCACCACATGGAGTGCTCCAAAGCTTCCTGACAGCACCAGGTCAGGTGGGCCTTGGTGGAGGCAACTAATGAAGATTTAACACTGTTGATAAGCCTAGAGTCAGGAGCAAAGGGAGCAGGAGGCACAATGGGACATCACAGCAGTCATATTTGAAATGGTATTATCTGGTAGAAAGTAAGGATTTTCAACTAATGACATGAAGCAGGTGGGGGCAGAACACACCCAGCACAGCCATCAGCTCACTGGAAGGAGCTAGTGCTTGTTTAATTTTCATCTCAGTAACTACTGGTTAAAAAAGCCCATGATGGGAGCTTCTGGGAATTCTCAGAAGGCCCCAGCAGCAGAAAGGCACTCTGGATACTGTCCCAGCAAGCTCAGGAGGCACAGAGGTGCTGGGACCCCCATAGGAACATGACATCCCTTCACTCAAACCTCACCTTAATCCTAACCAACCAACTTTGAAATATGTGTACTTTTCCCATTAGCAAATGAACTCATTTTACCAACAGAACTAGGGCTCTAAGTCTAGAAATTTGCTCAAGGCACATGGCTAGGAAGCAGCAACATGAGCCTTTTCCATTCTAAGCCACCGGGCCGAAAGGCTGACAGGCTCACAGCCAGCAGGTACTACAGGCTGAACTCTCTCAACAGCTCAGGCAGCAGTGACCTCAGGAGGCCACATTCCTGGATTTCCAGTCTTAAGTCACACCCCGCCACCTCCTGACATCAAAAGGACGATCTGACATCAAAGGGGTCTTGGATGCTAGATGGCCCAAACAGAACGGGCAGTGAGTTTCTATACTTTCTGCTGTTTGTGGCATACCTTTTGGGTATGCAGCTAATAATGCCCATTAGTTCTTTTGAAATCCCCATCCTTTGCCCACACAAATTGGGAAGACAGAGTACAATTGCTGAGCTTGAATCCAGGAAATCAGACAACTGGAGCCAGTAGATAGGAGGGAGCCAGGGAACATACAACATAGGAAGCTTTATTCATCTATTGCTGCTCCAGAGAAAAACAGGCCTGCACAGACTTCTCACTTTAATATGCTGTCATCTTGGGCTAAAAAGTTAAAAGAAAAGGACATACATTAGCACACTCTCAGGCAGCTGGAAAGGACACCAGATTTCCAGCCTTAAACAGTCCAGCATCTAACCCAGCAAGAGCCCAGCCATGCTCTCTGTAAATTGTCCATTGTTTTCCTTATCCCTGCACCCCCTGATCTGACGCTGCAGAGACAGCCAGGGGAAAAGTGTGCTTGTTTCGAGCCTCTTAGGGTGACAGCTGTGGTCTGGCCCCTGACAAAGATGGTCACCAAGACCCTCTCCCCACCTCCTCCACAGAGGACTCAAGCACCCTACATGCTGGGCCACCAGGAGAGGCAGCCCCACCCTCCGCTGGGGGCTCCTGTGTAGCACAGCTATCTTTCCTAAAAACTTGGGAAGGGACAATCTAGAACCAGTGACTCAAGTACCTTCTGCCAGCTCTCGGGCAATCCGCTTCAGCTCATCCTGCTTCTTTTTCTCCTCTGCTGCTATCCTTCTCTCCTCTTCTGCCCGGGGTTTTAGGTAACCTGTTTGGGAGTGGGAGAGGGGCTTCAATTAACTTCACTGAAAATGCATCATAAAAGGAACTGAGTTCACAGGTCAAGGTGTCTTCAGCCATGCTGTGAACCAGACGCATCTGCTGTCCACTCTCCTTACCTCAGTGCAGGTCAAGGCCCAACCCGGAGGATGCAGGGTCTCTGTAGCCCACCCCCTCACGCACCCACATGGTCCCCTGGTCCTCTGCATCCCTCAGGAGTCCACAGTACCTCCTGTGAGACCTCAGCGCTCCAATACCCACTCAGCGCCAGCTTTGGTCAAGAACCAACCGCTGCCCAGGCCCTGCCTGAGCCACGTCCGTGCAACAGCTGCGCGCTGGTGCCAGGCCTGCTGGCGCCTCTGCAGGTCTCGGGATGGAGGATGTGTCCCGTGGCCTCGTACTGTCCCTGCCCCTTTTCCAGCGCTGCGGTTTACTAAACAGCACTGGGGGCCCACATAGAAGTCCAGAAGGCCCGGCCCGGCGGTCACTCACTGTAGCGTGTGGCTCCGTAGGCCATGCCGAGGAACAGGGCGGAGTAGCGGCCGAGCTGCAGGAGAGGAAGGCGAGAGAGGCCGGTCAGCGCTGTCCCCGGCGCTGGGTAGGGGAGCCGGGGCAGGGGGAGCGGGTGGGGGTTGGGATTCATTCGCGGGGCTGAGCCGGGGTCAGGAGGACCCGTTAAGGGTCAGGAGCGCGGGGCAGGGGGACCAGGTGGAGATCGGCATTCGTCAGGCGCAGGCCAGGCCAGGGATCGGAATTGAGGGGTGGGAGGGGCGGGGTAGCAGCTGCGGAGTCGGGGTGAGGCGGAATGCGGAAACTCCGAGCACCGGGCGGCGGCCGCGAAACCTGGTTCACCTTGATGAGAGGAGAGACCTGCACCGGCGGCACCATCTTGCCCCTGACCTTCGTACCGGAAGCACAACTCACGGGTTGACCAGGACGCCGCAAGGCAAACGAGCTGCGGGAAGAGCGTACGCGCCCTGGCAGCCAGTGCGCTCCGGCGGCGCCTCCTGGCGGCTAGAGGGTGACAGACGTCTCAAAGAATGGCATACAGCAGGTGCGCACGCGCAGAAGCGCTGGTCCCCTGGTGGCCTTGGTCCGTTGTCTGCGCGTGGGTTCTCGCTCTTGGGTTCTTACCTGGGGAGGGCTCACGCGCCAAAGCCAGTCAACACTACCTAGCCGGGAGGCTGCCCTGTAGTCCCTGGATTTTAAGCGGAGGTTTGGCTCCGGGCCGGCCCTGCCTCATCCAGCCCCCAGGGCACACAGTCCCCGCGAACAGTGGTGGGCGCGAACCTGGGATCCCGGGTACTGAGTGGGCTGAGCACAGGGGGTTCCTCCTGGCCAGACCTCTTGCCCTGTGGCGTCTTGGGAGTCAGGTCAGCCGGGGAGAGGATGGTGCTCCTGCCGTGCTCTGCGACCGCCACTGTGCCCGGTTTTTGGTTTTGTTTTTTTTTTGTTTGGGGGGGGAGGGGGTTGTTTTTCTTTTTGTTTGTTTGTTTTGAGACAGAGTCTCACTTATTAACCCTCGGTAGAGTACTGTGGGGTCACAGCTCACAGCAACCTCCAACTCCTGAACTTAGGCGATTCTCTTGCGTCAGCCTCCGGAGTAGCTGGGACTACAGGAGCCCGCTACAACGCCCGGCAATTTTTTTGTTGCAGTTTGGCTGAGACTGGGTTTGAACCCACCACCATCGGTATATGGGGCTGGCGCCTTACCCACTGAACCATAGGCAACGCCCTTTTGGGGTGTTTTTGTTTTTGTTTTGAGACAGAGTCTCTCTTTGTCACCCTCGGTAGAGTGCTGTGAC